CCGATAGCGCGAATAAGAGTGCCTGCGACTTCAAATTAGCGCCCGTACACTACACGGGATTCTTCGTACAAAAATTGATTCTTATCGGATTTCTATTTCACATTGGCTTTTTCCCGAAATCAATGGTACCATTTGAAATATTGCATTGAATACGAGCACCTTCATCCCCCGCGTTTCGAGTGTAATGGTCTATTCGAATGACATATTGTTTTTATCGATTTCGCGTGCAAGTTTCCAAAAATAACGAAAAGATAAAATCTTTTTTGCTTTACACACAATATATAATATATAAAAATATTTAAATCTCCGATTATCAGGATTATCTATAAAGCTGTTTCTTGGAAAATACATGAACTTGGAAACAGCGTCGCTAGACACTTATAAAACATTTTGAAACCAATTTGGCCTCTTCTTCATCACAATTTTCAAATGTTCTTTTCTTTTGCTAATGGTTCCAAAGTGCACTTGACAATTCTGTGACAACAAAGGATGCTCTCTGTCCATTTTTAACTATCCTTATTGATGTTAACAATCATAAATGCATTTAACGTTTTGTTCTCAAAATTCAGTTGTCTTTGAAACTTGATTGAAAACGGATGAACTTTGTAAGAAATATTATTTCGAACTTCGGAAAAGGGAGAATAAAAATAAATACTTGGCTTTTTTTAACTAACATTGGTTTGATTAAGAGCTGAATGTAATTTACTGGATATCATTCACACAAATTAAAATTTTAAGGTATTTGTAATTGCCATATTCAACTCGAATTGTTTAATTTTTTTGATTTGTGTTCATTCTGGTGCTTTTTAAAAGAAATACTTTCAACTTTTAGTATGAAAATCGAAAAATTGACGATTCTGTCACACACGTTGTGTCACAAATTCAAATGATGACATTTTTGAGAGTCACAAATTGGTCACTAAAAGATGACACCATTTACTTGGATCTAAGTGTTCGCTTTGCTAAATTTCATTCAACTTCGACTTTTAGTGTGAAAATCGAAAAATTGACATTTCTGTCCCAAGAAGTGTGTCACAAATTCAAATGATGACATTTTTGAGAGTCACAAATTGGTCACTAAAATATGACACCATTTATTTAGAACTAAGTATTCGCTTTCAAAAATTTCATTGATTTTCGACTTTTAGTATGAAAATCGAAAATTTGACATTTCTGTCCCAAGAATTGTGTCACAAATTCAAATGATGACATTTTCGGGAATCACAAATTGGTCACTAAATCTGTGTCGAAGAACTTTTATGATTACGGTTGTTTTTATTGAAAGCCTTTTCGAAATTTCGATAATAATTCTTTTTTGCGCAATTTTCACTTTCTTGTTCAAAAAATGTCCACCAGATGTCGTATCGAAATTTTCAAAACATTTTTGAAAATCACAAATTAATCACTAAAATACTGCATCATTAGTTTTTTGAAATTTTGTTTTATTTCGATTTTTTCAAAATCTCATTTATAGACTTTTTGATGAATAGGCTTTTTCAAATTTAGGCCTGTAACTTTTTTTCTGGAGCGTCACAAATTCTAAAAATTGCGTCACAAATTTTCACTAATTAATCACTAAAATTGTGTGAAGTTTGAGCCCAATCGGGTACTTTGACCCCCCAGGTAGTGTGCGCCACCGGATAAGTTCTACTTTGTAAAAGTAGTCAATATTCCTATTCAAATGAATGAGCATATTTGATGAAAGTACAAATAAACAGTGGTATTTCATTGATATGCGATGCAATGGAAGTTATGAGTTGCTGCAGAACATTGAATCTGCATATTTTGCTCACCCATACCGTTGGATTCTATTTGAGCCGATCGCAGATAGATTGGTGAATTTTACATTTTTAACCGATAGCAATGTGATTTTCGTAAATTTCAATTCGAATTTGAATCGATATGATTTGGAACAAGGTATTTATAATATTTTCTCAAAAAACACACTTTTTAAGATATTGTTATTTTTTTAGTTTATAAAATTGATAAAGAACTTTCTTTTATACATGAAACTTTCGGATTTTGGAGCATTGAAAATGGTCTTAACGATTTACGTGAAACTCGAATTTTATCGAGACGTCGACGAAATCTCAATCGAAAGGTGTTGAAGTCAACACTAATTCCGATGCGAAATGAGTCAATCGGCCATCTTGATGACATAAAGTAATATAACTTACTGCTTAAATGATTTTTTTGTTGATATTTTTTGATCAATGTTCTTTTAAAAAATAATTTGATAAAAGGAACGCTCACATTGATCCGTTGGCAAAGATGGGCTTCACGATAATCAATATTTTAGGCGAGTATTTAAATTCAACGGTCAAGTACAATTATGGTAAGTAACAACATGGTAACTGTAGTTCAATTTAATCCGACCATGTTTTTTTGTTTCAGTTGATACATAAGGGGTATGAAGACTTGAAATATCCGGAAAAAGTGAAAGGGATGGTAGGACATTTGATTCGACGAGAAATTGATATTAGTGGTAAATTAAATTCAAAACCTTGCTTAAGCATTTTCTGTTGATCGATTTTTATGCTCAGGGAATCATTTGTATATGACGCCGGAGCGACTGCCGCACATTGAATATCTTTCGGTTACTCTATTATCTAGAGGTGCATTCGTTTTTCGAAACCCATCCTTGAGCCATGTGAAAAATATCGTTTATCTCCCATTTTCGGACAGCATATGGATTTGCAGTATAACGTTGGTCGTAATTGGCACTACGATCATCTTTATCACTTATAAATTTTCGAATGATACAAGTCCAAGAATATTTTCGTCCGATTTTTTGCTATTTGCAATTAGTGCGTTGTGTCAAATGGATGGATTTTTAGTGCCGAGAAGAGCGTCTGCAAAAATGGCCACGGTGAATTTAAAACACTTTCACTTTTTTTAGTACTCAGTCACCAAATTTAATAATATCATATTGTTTTGTTAAAGTAGTATGTGTTCTATCTGTGTTTGATATTTGTCTACACGTCATACACAGCCAATATAGTTGCTCTTTTACAATCAACATCAAAAAGCATTCGAACCTTGGCTGATTTGTTAAATTCTAACATTGAACTTGGAGTCGAAGATAGGTAGTGCATAGATAATGTTTTTAAACTTACACTAAATAATAATATAAACACTTTCTATATTATATAGTCCATACTTAAAATTTTTCTTCTCCGCCGAAACTGAGCCGATACGGAAGAAAATTTACGACACAAAAATTGCGCCACAAAATAAACCACCTGATTGGGTAAATGATGGATGTGGCCAGTCTCGTTTACTAGTTGTCATTTGTAAATTTTATTTTTGGTTTTTGCTTTTGTCCTTGTAAATGTTAGTTATGGTGTCAGCCGTATGAGAGAAGGAATGTATGCAATACACATGGAATTGGGCACAGGTTATAAACATGTGAAGAAAACATTTGCCGAACATGAAAAATGTGGATTCACTGAAATTGAGTATTTGCGAGTATTCGATCCATGGCAGGTGATGCCAAAACACTCTCCATTCAAAGAAATCTTTATAAAGTTGCGTTAGTATTCCCATATGACCATTGAAGTAAAATTTTCAATGAAAATTCAATGTGAAAAATCTTTCAATTTTGTCACAGCTTATTTAGGATTCGTGAGCATGGCATACAAGAAATTGAAAAAGCACGACGATACACAAGTCGACCGATTTGTTCAAGTCAATCACAAAATTTCGAAAGTGTTGGCATCATCGAGTGCTATGCAGCTTTTTTGGTACTTTGTTATGGGATTGCGGCCGCACTGGGATTTTTATGTCTTGAACACTTTTGGAAAATAAAAACTTTATTACTTCACAAAGATAGTTAGAGCACGAAAAAACGTTCGATTAACTGAACTTAAAAACTGAAACAAAAAATATACATGTATGTAGTTAATTTCGATACAAAATTAAAATAATGAATAAAACTATGAATATTTACGTGTGATTTGCGAATTTTATTTTTCGACGGATGGCGTTAGTTGCGCGTAACTTTTCTGAACACGTGAAAAGTTTGAAATGTTGATGGAAATGCTAATGAAATGTTTTAAAATGAAATTTTCCAATTTGAGAGCAAAGAGAAAATATGAATGCGTCATACGTTGCGTGTTGAATTTTTCTTTTTCAGCGATACGAATCGAAATCAAACCGGAGCAATCGGAACGTTCGAAAAATGGTTTCGTTCAATACACAAATGAAACCAATTCGAGATACCGCTCCGAAATCGCTTTGTATGCGAAATGTCAAACCGGTTCGCATCGCTGCTTTTTTCATTCTTCAATTAAAAATATAAATGAAATAATTAATTCATAATAAATTAGGGCATGGTATTATTATGAATCTTCGTCGAATTCTAGTTGAATTCAATTGCATGACACTATTAAATCAGAAATGAACTTGAACACTCTAGAGTTTATGTAGTGAAAAGCAATCTAATGATTATTACACGATTGGAAATAGGATGAAATGGAAAAATACTGACCAATCCAAAAATCACACATCAGTATCAAAAAGAAACACTGACGTGTTGGACAAGAAGCATTCTGAAATGTTGTATACAAATTTTATTTTCTGCGTGAACCAAAAATGAGCAATCCAAATTCAACTAACTTTTTCAAATTAACGAATGGCAAAATTCTCAGTTTGAAAGATCATTTGACTGGCTTTACGGAATTGATTACAAAGCACGTCCAAATAATCTATTCGAGGGCGAATAAATCGACCAAATTTGAAGAACGGCTCGCTTTCTTTTTAAACAATAGTAGTATACATGGTTTTCTTTTTTTGGACAATCGCTACGGAGCACTTTATCGGTAAGGAAACTCTAAATAGATTTTCCAATTCACGAAAGCAAGTAATTGAATCTTATAATTTTAGCATTGGCTGGGTCTGCATTTTATTCACTTTAATGTACGGAATATGTGTGGTGTTTAAATATAATATAAATGACTATTTGGATGATACAACTGTCGTGAACTTCGAAACGGTTGATTCGAAAAAAGATAATATATTCCCGTCTGTTGCTGTTTGCATTAGAAAGGATATATGGTTCGATGCAAATGTCGATGATGTAAAGGAATTCGTTCAAAAATATTATTCAGAACACAATATAGAAGTACCTGCAGAGTAAGTTAATTATTGATTATACACATAAACACAAAACAAACAATTCAAAGCAGAGAATATAAATGGGAATAACAGAGTGGTCGACTATGGACACATCTGTATTTCCGCTTTTATTCTTATAGAACACGAATAGTAAGTAAATTTTTGAATATTGCAGTGAACATTTCTACCATCAACTCATGGACTATGCCTTTTTGAGCGCCGCTGATTCCCATTTTACTAAAAAGTCAATTTTATATTTTTTCGAATTGCTCTATTTATTATGAATGGAAGAATCAAGAAAAAAATATTTATCTTTCATTTTTTTTCTTGTTTCTTCCACTCATAAAAAATGGAGCAATGCAAA